GATGTGACTCTCAGCTGCTCTGTGGACACCCATGTTAATGTGACAGAGCTTCAGGTGGAATGGAGACAGACAGACGGTGACATCATGGTGCTTCTGTTCACTGATGGAGAGAACAAACCAGATTCTCAGCATGACAGATACTCTGGAAGAGCTGAATTCCTCGCTGAGGAAATTCCGAAAGGAAACTTCTCAATGAAACTGAGGAAAGTCAGGTTGGAAGACAAAGGAGAGTTCATGTGTGAAGTCCACTCAGATACTGATTCTAATAGTACAACAGCCAGGATAGCAGCACTGGGTGAGTCACCAGGTCACATACACAAGGTGTCACATACACAAGGTGTCACAGGGGGCAAACCAGGCCGACTCTCATGTTTTTACTTACAGCTGAAGATCCACCTGTATGTCCTACATGTTAAACTCCTTTAGCTGTTAAACACCTTTATTGTTTTGTCCCTCTTTTAACTCCCTCAGGCTTGGTTACCACTTTACTGACTCTTTAAAAGAGGTTTTTAGTAAAGTCAAGCCAGAGACTTTTTACATTTTTAACCGAAAGCTAATTGTAAGCATCATATTTACATTGTTTTGACTGTTTGTAACATTTTATAATTACTTATGAAGTTTTTATCATTTTGGTTGCTTGATCTGTTTTAATTATCCATATACTCTCTCCATGAATATAGCCCTAGTTACTGGCATGATGTTAAAAGTCAGCTTAACGTAACACTGGGCGAGTCACTAGAATGACTGGCTTTAACCTGCATCTCCACATTTTGTGTGATTAAATCTCATATTCGTTCTGCCGAGGATAAGAATGATGAGATAATTCTGCTGTAGAATGATCTTCATACACGTCCCATAGTCATACTGGGTTTAGTCAGTTTTATATACAAAATGAATGAATGTGTATTTGCTTCAGGCTCCCACTTTAGTGCAGTTTTCAGCTCTAGATAAGATGTGTTTTATTAGAGTATTGCAGCATAATCTATGGTTTTATTTTCAATTAATAATAATGTAAGTCAGTTAAGAATTAGGAATCATGCACATAATAAATTTGTGCCCCAGTATTGTAGAGTAATTATTGGGTCAGACATGCTGATTATAGTCTAGTGCAGGGTTATGCAAATCACGGTCCTCGAGGTCCGAGCACTGCTGGTTTTCCAGCCTTTCTTTTCCTGTCAGGTGTGAAGCCTCTGACCAATCAGAATCAGTAATTATTAAACTAACTACTTGGGAGAACTGAAAACAAGGCCTGGATTTGGAATCGAGGTCCAGATTTGAAGAACCCTGGTCTAGTGTATCAAGCCTGTTTGGAAAAATAAATTCTGGAACATATTTCTTATTTATTTTAGGTTATTCATCTCTGCATTGGCTGATGATTCTGATGCTGTGCATCACTGTCACACCTGTAGTTCTACTTACTGGTGCTTTATCTGTCTGGCATTATATAAAGGAAGGTAAGTAATTTTGAAACTTTCAGTATTAGTCTAACTATTGTAAAGCACAGGTCAAACCTAATGTGAATTACTGTGAAGTAAACCCCAGCAAACCAAAACAATGAACCAAAGCTGATGTCCTCATTAAAATTACACTAGAAATAATTCAGGAGCTGAGTCTGTTGAGACTGACAGTCTGTACTGGTCGTCTGTAGGTGAGCATGCAGCAGAATGACCATCTGAGGATGGCTGTCGATCATTAAACTTTGCATGAACCATCATTTAATGTTAAAGAGCAGGTGGTTACATTTGGTCCTACTTCCTGTCTATAGGTAAAGGCAGACAGGCTCTGTTGAGTCACTGGTCACTTGTCACAGTTCCACCAGTCATGGTTTCATCAGCATTCATCCTGTGGGGTGTAACTGAAGGTGAGCCCATTAAATATGGTTTATACGTTCCTGTATTTTGATTAATTTAAAGAATGCTTAAAAGCAGATTGATCCTAATTATTTCTGTCCTGTGAGTTTTACAATTTAAAAATGTTTTTCGGACAGCAGAGCAGTAGTAGTAAATTAAATGGATTGATAATGTTTAACTGGCTGAAGATCCAGGAGAGATCAGGAATTTCACTAGTAAATGTTTGTATGTGTGATTTATGAATCTATACTAGTTAATAGGGTAACAAAATAAGACCAGATTTACCTCCGGTACACTGATGGAGTTAATTAACTGTGATGAGTTACTTTCATTGGTTATTTGTTTTGATTTGTCTTTAATATTTATAAACATCTTTAAATCATTTAACATTTAATGTAACAGCTTAAATTTTGGTATGTATCTACCAAAGGATTATTTATGTTGCCAGTGTAAATATTTTAAGTTTGTGCAGTTATGGCTTGTGTAGAATGAGTATCTGTGTTTCTCGATTTCCTGAAAGCATAAAGAGAGCAATAAACACACTTAACACACTTAATCAAATAAACAATAGCAGAGGAAGCGCCACCTGGTGGATAATTATAGAATTTCAAATAGAAGCAGTCAGTCACAGAGCATGTGAGCGGAGTGGAGTGGAGCGTGAGCGAGGAGCGGAGCGGGTGGAATTTGGTCAGAGCGCGGAGCGGTTTTTAAATTAAGGCTGGAGCGGTCGCTCTGTCTCGCTCCAATTTCGCTCCGATACCGCTCACACTACGATTCTGAGGCGTGCCCAAATCTACCCAGAATTCATCTCTACAATTATCAAGACTGTTAAACAAATTGACCGAGATGGAATTCGCAAAATATTTCACAAGGGAAACTGATAAATCATACAAGTGTAATATTCTTATAAAACGTAGGCTATAGATGACAATAATGTAGAGCAAGAATAACAAGGTGGTGAAACTGTTTCAGTGAGTAAAGATTCACTTTGGAATCACTTTTCTGAGAAACATGAGAGTGTGCTACGCGAACAGGCGGAAGCCAGAGCAAAACGTGAGCAAATTTTATATGATTGTAGCTTATCAAGTCTATAAAGTAAAAGTATAAAAGCCAATAAAGTAAATATTGGTAATCAAATAAATTCGTTTTGTCATTCAATGTAGGTCTAATAGGATTTTTAAATTTCACGTAACTCTGTCAATGAAATGTTATTTTATAGAGACGCAGCAGCAGCATCCATAGAAAAAATTGAGGAATTTAAAACGTGGATGTTTAGCCTGTATATTCTTTAGGCTATTAAGCCCACTGATTCCTTTATTTTTAAGCCTATTTTTGTGTGGAATGCCATTGCCAAACCTGTCCGTTGTTGCCTATATGCTGTTTAAAAATTAATATTTTTAATTGCTCATATTTCTTTATGATATAAGGCTTTGGTTTAAGGTGACATTTGTTAGGCATGCAGATTATTTGTCCCTCTTTTAAATTGGAACGAGCGTGGAGCGATTTGACTGGAGCGGGAGGAAATTTTAGTGGAGCGAGGAGCGGTGTTGAGCGGAGCGGCTTAGGCCCAATCCCAATTCTATTTTCTACCCCTTTGCCTACCCCTCGCCCCTTCCCCTTGCCCCTTGAAATGAA